GCCGAAGGCTCTCAGCCAAGGTCTGCTGCAGCACGGCTACGTCCACTCCCATCCTTGGCTTCGAATCACAGAATATACTTGGTCTCACTCCGTGAACTCAGCAGCTGCGCACACCTTCTGCGGGTGAACATTTATGTCCAGCACAATTTCCGGGGTCACCTGAAATACGCACGCAGTCGATCCGCAATACCCCTGTTGGACTGGAAAACCGAGTGGAGGCTGTGCATCTTGGCTAAGAATATCCATGCCTCAAAGCCTTGCCCAAACCCATGTCGAAGCCCGAGAATCTTGGCTGCAGCATTCTCCAGTGTCCCCACATCCTGGCATGCAGGTCAGTGAGCCTTCAGCAGAAATTTTGCAAACCTGGTTGGCGTAGTTCCTGAGATCTTGCCTCTCCATACTTGACGGGTCATTCTTTGTATTGCTGCATTGCGTGAGAACTAATCGTGCACACAGGTGCCCTGATGCAACAACGGATGAAGAAAGGCAGTGGCATGCATTTTGCGCCAAAGCCATCGAGCCCCAAAGAATCTGGCTGCATGCACAATTTGTTGCAGGAAATGTCCTGCAGCCTGTGTGCTCATGACAACCACTTGGGGAAATTGCTCAGTACTTTGGGAGCAGTAATGAACATAAGCAGTCCTCGACCAAGCCTTTGAACTTGTAGAATCCCATGGAGCTCGCTCCGTACCTTATATGAGTGAGCGAACGAGAAGCCCCATCCACTTGCACTCATACCTGCGCACATCCCACATCACTTCAGCAGGCACGAGCGCATTCTTAATCCGAGAAACAAAAATTTTACAGCGGATTCTTTCAATCCGAGCACAGGTGCCTGAGGCACCTTGCAAGATTTCCTCCCGGCAGGTCTGCAGGTTCTGGAAACTTGCCGGCAGCGTGAGCTGCGGCGACGAATTGCTACATGTGTCAGAAGCAGCGAATGAATGATGGCAAGTGCATGCACGGACATGCTGGAAGTTGCGGGCGTAGTATGGCTTTCAGGAGACCAGCAGCAACAGCACAGCAATAGCAGCAGCCATTCGAAAGCCAAAAACACAACGAATGATCTAAGAGCATGTCTTGCTAAACGGACGGACGGCCCGGAGTTGTTTGTACTCCGTCTTGGCACCAGTCAGGAAATACGCAACGAAAACAACACTGTACACTGTACGCTCTGCCTAACCGTATATAACTGACCCCTTCGACATCATATAAATGAGGCGACAAATGTAGCTGCTCTACCTGCAAAATGCCTGCGGTGATTGTGGTACGTAGTTGTAGCCTTCAGAAGCGTTGGACCTTCAGCACAAGGTCCTTTAAAGAAGCTGAGTGTGTAGGGTAGAGTCAAGGCTTGGTGGCAGTTCAGCATTGTAAGCAGTGGTGCACGCTATTAGAAACACCAGCTTCAGCATGGCAATGAACTGCTTGTAAATCGACGAAGCCTGTCCCACAAACAACTGCACGAGATCCTTTGTTGAAAGTCGCATGTGGATTAATAACCTAGTAAGCAACCAAGCTGCTTTTCGACAGCCTCCTGCGTCAGCAGCATGGCCGCTGCGATGGGAAACCTGATTCACCCCATAAGTCAGTCCCAAGTGTTTGGGTAGGTACCCGCTGCTTAATTAATTAGATGTTCCAACAGGTCAATGACGTGCTCATGAGAGTGGGAAACCTCGCAACTAATCCTTTCACCCTAATATTAAACGGCTCCCCCCCACCTAAGGCAAAAACTCCCGCCCGTATTTAATATTAGGGCTAGGGGGGTGTATTTATCATACGACCCAAGCATTAGGGGGGTGTAATTAACATCATATTAAAATCGTACGAAAACAGAATTACCATCTAATAAGGGGACTGATTGGAGACTATTTCAAATTGGGGCCCTATGAGGGACTGTTTCAAATTAGGGCCTTGTTAGGGATTTATTTCAAATTAGGCCTTATTAGGGACTATTTGAAATGAGGGCCTTGTTAGGGACTATTTCAAATTGGGGCCTTTTTTTGGGATTACTTGAAATTAGGGCCTTATTAGGGACTATTTCAAATTAAGGCCTAGTTAGGGACTATTTCACATTAGGGCCTCATTAGGGACTATTTTGAAATTAGGGACTGATTTGGGACTATTTGAAATTAGGGACTGAGTTGGGATTGTTTGAAATTAGGGCCTCATTTGGGACTATTTCAAATTAGGGTTGTGTTAGTTGTGTAGGGACTATTTCAGATTAGGGTCTTATTAGGGACTATTTCAAATTAGGGCCCTGTTAGGGACCATTTCAAATTAGGGCCTGATTTGGGATTATTTGAAATTAGCGCCTTATTAGGGACTATTTCAAATTAGGGCTTTGTTAGGGACTATTTCAAATTAGGGGTTTGTTGGGGACTATGTCAAATTAGGGCTTTGTTAGGGAATGTTTCAAACTAGGGCCTTGCTAGGGACCATTCCAAATTCGGGCCTTAGTAGGTGTTTTTCCGAATTAGGGCCTTGGAATCGGTTTTTGGAATTCGTTTATATAAATTCCTCTATAAAAAGCATTCAATAACAGTCAAAATCCAGGAAATCAAGGAGATCCCTAATCCTGAAGACTCGTGCAAAACCTCCCCTAATTCAAGGGATCCGAGCCGCAATCAACTTTAGGCCTGGCCCTTTTATAAGATAGCCTTGGGGGCAGATTTCAGGATTTGGAATTTTGGCGAACCCGTATTTAATATTAGGGGGCGGGGGTTAATATTAAGGGGAGGCGATTAGTGTGCAACAAATGTTGTTGGCGTGCACCAGGCTGATAGCTGCCTTATAACTCATCGCCTGCAAGTCTGGCTTGTGCGTTCTCCTGAAAGACCGCTTTGCTGATAGATTGGTCAGTTGAAGCCTTGCATGTGCAGCCGCTTAGTGGTTTACAACTGGGGCGCGCCAACCTACAACTGCTGTAGTCTAAGGGGGTAGTCTAAGGGCATGTAGAACAGAGCACTGATTACACAGTCACGCAATGTGGACGTGGAATCCCAAACACTTCTGCGCTAGCCTTGGGGCTCAGATGTTGAGTTGCTGACCTGCGCCTTGAACTGCGCAGTTGGAAGTACCCTGATTCTTGGAAAGCCCTATACGTCTTCATGAAACGTCGGAGAGACTCATGTGATTCCCTTCATTCTAAGCACAGGCAGGAAAGTGCCCTTTCCTTCACCCGTTCCTTCAATGATGAAAAGAGGTGCCAGACTTATCTTCTGAGAGCAGCAGCCAGACACGTCGTCACACATTCCATCTCAGACACAAACCAAGACTATACTGGAAGCAACCTGGAAACTCTGCCATGGCTGGACACTGAACGCCTTAAGCGGAATGCTGAATGCCTCGGTCTTGGCCTACTTCGTATCCTTGAGAATGAGCTTCCTGAAAGACCTGCTTAACCACCCCAAAATCTGGACAGCCTGAACTACGTTGCAAGGGACTCAGCATTGTCGGAGAGGTGTGTGCAGTGTTCAAAGATCTCGCGGGTAAGGTAGTCCCTCCTGGATCAGCTCTGTGCGCGGTCTTGGAAGTTTGGGCATTCAGGGTGTGCAGGCGGCGTGGGTCTTGCAGGACATTGCCCTGCCACTCACGTGGCCTTGCGAGGGCCATGCAATGCTCCCTGCGACTTGCAGTTCCGTCATGCCCTAATACAGCAGCGTGAGGTCCTACAATGTATTGCCCACCCACAAACATGATTTTCTAGACAGCCTTAAGAAACCTCGGACACCTCCACCTCCACTGAACAAGGTTGCTTGCTGAAGCTGGAGGATAGCTACATGAAAACACACTGTGTTGAAGAAATGTGTGCTGGCAGTACCTGTCAAAAGTTCATGAAGACCGATGAAGACGTGCTTGGACTGCTTCAGGACTAGCCTCAGTCTGCCTGCTACATTCGGCTTTCACATGCCCACGCTGCTAAGGCCCCGACTCATCTTTTGTCAGTGCTTGTGGCCCTTTTCTGTCTTTTTCGCATTAGACATGGCGTTCGATCATGATGATAGCGGCGCTGGATGTCATTGGACGCCAAATTGAATGCTCACTCACGATGGTGATGCTCTACCAGTTGCATGTGTTGTCTTCGGAAATATTGGGAATATCAAGGATCCGTGTCAGGGATCGTTTGCAACAGATTAAAGCCGTGGACGCTGCTAGGTTGCAACCACGAAGCCCTGAACCCGAAAACCACCAAAGCTCCCAACAGCAGATCAACGGTACTCGCGCAACAGACCTGTGCTTGAAGGACAATCTGCGCCTACCAAGCTCGTTGGCAAAGCGCTTGCCGCCGCAGAGGAGGATAGCACCACAACCTCTGCACCCACACCCTGCTTGCGTTTGGGCCTCACGTCCTCACACCCGCGTACATGTGGCCAGCAAGATTAAAAAAAAAAAAACTTACACAGGTTGGGGACGCTAATCTCACCCCCCACCCTCTCCCAATGATTAAGCATCTCCATTGGTGTGCTTTGAACTCTTGGGCGAAATACGGGGGAGACTCATCTTAGGTGTGATGTGCGTTCAGAAAGTCTGCACTATGCTCCCGCACCCTTGCTACTGGTCCCGAAAATTAGACGTGATAGAAACCTGATAAGGCAAAGTTTCTGTCCGCTCAAGTTTGTGCAGAGGGTTGGCATGAGCGGTGTAGTGTGGGGTTTCATCTTTCTAGGTCCTAAACCCTGAGCACTGTCGATATGCATGCGCCTAATCCTGCATTCATGTGGAACCATGAGGAAGATGGGTAGCAGCATTTCTTATAGGGGGGACGTTCTGTCTTGCGTTTTGCAAGTTAGCATGGCGAAGGGATGGGGCGCTGGCTGACAGATTTCCATGAAAGATGATGACGGTGAGAACCGGGCCGGGAGAAAGCAGTGCAAAGAAACGCACAAGTACCAGTGAGATCTTCTTAGGACTTCATCGCTGATGGAAAATTTCTATGCGCGTCTATGCATGGCGAAGCGTAACAACTCAGAGATGTGACAGGCAAAGCACGAAAGATTGGCCTCGCAGAGCTTCAGGTGCAAGGAATTTAGTGTGGAAGTTTGGCTGCTTGACTTCGATGAAGCCTGAATCAGGGTCCACAGTCTCTTAGCAGTTTATGTTCTGAAAAAATGAGAGCACCTGACAATTTCCTGCTAATCCCTATGCATGTGCCGGGAACATTGTGTGGCCTGGCTTTAGCGAAGCTATGGCGTATTAAGTCAAGATTGAGATCAACGCCAGGCAGTTTTCATGCAGGCTTCGGACAAAAAGGTTGGATTCCTGCAGGGACCGTCAAAACACCTTGCGGCAGGCTTCCTCTCAAGCTGGCCAGCCAGCTACAGTAAGAGTTGTCCAGAATGCTTTTGCAGGATACTGGCAAGTCTCTACATGTTTGCAACCTGGTGGACGAATACTAGTTACTAATTTTCGTGCAGGAAGCTGACTTGAAAAGAACTGGAGACACCCAGCGTAGCAATATCATGGAAAAATGGGCATTCGATAAAGCCTTCCACTCCTTCGAGTTCCTATGTCTCTGTGAGTTCTTCAGCTCCGGGAGCAAGCGGTTTTTGAGAGGCTCTTGTTGCCGACACTTCGCTCATGCCCGTCCAAATCTGCCTGTAGGATGGATCTGGACCTTGTCCATAAGAGTGGTTTGCGCACTGATGTCCTGGCTTTGAGCTAACCAAGGTACTTGGGAATACTTGGGAGGACAAGAAGCTGCTCGCTCCCTTTTTTGTGTACCCTGCGAATCTGGGCTCGGCGTATCTCGCAGTTAGAATGCAAATGCACCACGCATTCCAGATCGTCATGCCGCCCTTGCTGATGGCATCTTGGCTCCACTACAAACTGCCGAAACCTACAATATTCAGGCCTCAAGCCCCAAAGACAACCTGACTGTCTCCATCCTTGCGCACACGGTGCCAGTATCAAACTTGCTCTGATAATAGCCCGCTGCAGGGATTGCACGCAATTCCCGCAGTCCTGACTGAGAAGAGCCTTGATGACATCACCCGTGGCAAAGGGCCCATTCCTAGAACAGACGCGGGAGCAAATGTAATTTGGAGGTTTCTGGTTGTAGACAGAATGAGCTTGCGAAAGCTGGATTTAGTCTTCAACAACAAGTGATCTACAACATCACAAATGGATTCAATCCCTGACACGTGCTAGCCACGTCTCCACGTGCCTGCGCAGTTCAAGACCTCAAGCCCTGAATTGCAAAGTAGCCGGTATCTTCATGGATCATGAACCTTGAAGCGGTCCAGGCACCCAATATGCCACCAATGCTAAGTCCTCAAGCAGCCACCTCTAACCTTGCCAGGACTCGTGGTAGGCAGCTTGGCCAGATCCGGAGCGAAACGGTCCAGGAGTGAACGATCTGCATGGTCGTTCGCATAACCTGGCAGACACGCTCAAAACTGATACCTGTGAAGGCGATGTCTGAATTTGTCGTATATGGCGCGAACTAAGGGCTCCATTGTCCAGTGATCACACAATATGTGGAGGATTGTGCTGGCGTCTGCGGTTTGGGCATGTTCCTGCAAGGTTTGGGGCTTATAGCAGTACAGGGAGTTTCTGGCATGGAGCATGGGGCTTGGGGCCCAAGGGGTAAGTACGGTAAGGATACTTCACAAACAAGATAAAGGGAGAAGACCATTAAAGTGGGCATCATAGTACAGTATCACGCGTGTTCAGGACAACAGGACCTCGGCATACACAGCACGAGCTACGAGTTGCTGCGCCGACGGCCACTCGGGCTTTTGAACGGAGCTCAGTCCTTTAGGCTTCATACTTCTGGCTAGCGAATCTGACTGAAGCCTTGTAATATATAAGTGGTAGCGCAGAGCTGGCTGGACCGATGATCCTAGACAACCTGCACCACTCCTGAATCCTCAACCCCTATAAACCTTCAGAGCTTTGCTCCACTGCCCTCAGCCCATCCCTAGACAAAAACACCGGACACTTCGAGCCTCCCGCTGCCAGTACCACATTTCCACGGAGACCTGGGGTAGATTCTGCTCTCACATACCTCGCACCATCGTGAGTCCTGTGACTTTGCCACGTTGAAGCATGCTCTTCGCCGGGTTCTGTTACCATGTTTTCCGTGTGCTGACGGTAGAGCCAACGTAAACGGTTACAGCTTACAACGCGAAACCCGCTACAACATAAGAGCATTTGGATTGTAAGCAAACCAGCTTTGGTCTTTCGGTGGACCACATTGGCCGTTGCAAATTTACCAATGGGCTTGAGGGTTGCAAGTCGTGATGACGATGACAGTGTTGATGCGAAGCTGGATGTGTCGATTGCTGCAATGTTGATGACGATGTTGATGATGAATGATCGTGACTAAGCCCAGGACCATAGAACTCACCATTGCGCCAGCACTCAGCGTGACCATGGTGATGATGACCCGTGAAGGATGGTGTCAACGATGACCGTCAACAAGAACTGTACACTTCTAGTGCAAGCTTGTGGTGGCGTGGCCGGACAGAGGTATGGCAGATGTCCCACTTGACGGAGCTACCAAGCCAAGAAGCTGCATACCCCGATCCACGCACTGAGCATGAGAGATACAATTTTCATAAAACTACCTGCTTCCGAAACGCCGGTCACCTCATCAAAAACCTGAAAAAATCACAGAGATGCACCGACCAATTTACCGCCTGCCCTCCTCCCTGAGCACTCACTCCTGCTCCACACCCACATCTCATTATGAAAGCCGCTGACTCCAATACCATTAAACGCAAACTGCAGCTGAACTCAACCCGTAAGCCCGTGCAATTTGCCGACTCCGTCATGGAAGCAACAGCCGGGCTGCTGTGCAAGTTGCCTTCCTCATCAGCATACTTCAGGCCCACCGCACGCCGTCCGTCCATGATCAGCTCCTTACCACGTATGAGCATTTGCTTCGGGTTTGCGATGGTTAAGGGCTCACGACTTGAGATGCTTGACTTGTTTAAGCATGCGCTGGCGCTCAGCTACAAATCTTCAGCTTCAGGCTGCCATCAGTGAAATAGGGGTTAACTCCGAAAGCTCCATGACTTCTGGAAAGGCATTAAGGGAAGCAAGGCATAGCTTACCGTACGGACCGTCCTTGAAGGCAGCCTTTGTTCGCACGGACACCTGCTCTTTGAGGTCGCTCTCGATCATCTTCCTCTTGAAAAAAGACGAGCTCAGCCGAGAGTGCTGCTGCCATAGTTGTTCTTGTCATTTCTGTTGGTATGCTAAGGAGGCACCTCAATCTCCTAAATGATAAACCTTGCACGTGCCTCTGGGCCAATCTAAGACTTACAAAAGAGGTCTGCGCTGCAGACCGTTCAAATGACTTCCTCAAGACCAGCAGTCTTCGGGAGGTCCTACCATCCAACGAACCTAGAGGCGTGGAACTGCAGGTCGCCTGCCTTCGGCACAAAAACTTATACAAGGGCGGTCACAGGTTCTGCCTTAGGGAGAGCAGGCTGTCTCGAAACAGAAAAGTGTGAAACCCTGCCCTGGGTGACCACTTCAGACAGGGGCTTGGTCCTGAGGCTGCTAATCAGCGTCCAGCCAACTGGCTGTGGCTTCCCCTCGGTGGTGTGCGGAAATCGATGTGTACCTTCCGCAGGCAGTAGCGCACACTACATGAGATGAGTCCGGAGCAAAGGCATGCCTACCGAGCTCTAAAACTTATGTGCTCCTTATCAAGAACCAGTAGTATGCAAATGCAATGTTGGGAATTGCTGGCACTCTGTAGAAGTGCATGCTTTCTCAAGGAAGGAAGCTCCCAGGGAAACTCGACGCCTTGCGCCATACGAAGTGCAAAGAACAGCAGAATTCTAGATGCTCGACCCAGGCCTGGTTCACTGGCACACATGATACTTACTAGCTGTCCGTCTGCATCGCTCCCGAGCAAGTCCCGCACTCCAAGTACAATTTCAAGTGTTCTTTATATTTGAGCAGGCTAGCCAGCCTCCCTCTTTCAGGCACATCACCTTCCACTGTCTCAGATGACACTTAGACCGACTGCACCTCCATATCACAAAAAGTACAGACCCTGGACCTTTCTGCCATTTCGAACAATCTTCCAGCTTCGAATTGCCGAGATGCGCTGCACGCTGTGGCCGCCAAGCTGAACTACGTCTGTCAGCGCAAGGCCTCAGTTTAACGCAGAAATTTCAGGATCTGGGTGGTATGGGGGATAGAGACTTTTGAGTGTGCATGGTGGTGGATTGGGGGGCTGTATGTCTAGCATCGGGTATATGTTCGGGAGCTCATTCTCGCACATTTCGAGCCAACTCCACGTCACAAGTGCAAGTCGACAGCACAAAGCTCACACGATCTCATCCTATCTCCATGAAGCCACTCTAGCCAAGCTGCCAAGACTTCTGAGCCTGAGCTCTGAGCATCTATGGAATCTGACTGAAATGGTGCAACCTATGGGACTTTTTTTCTGTAGCAGAAATTTGCCGAGGTTTTGACGTTGGTGTTTTTTGTGTGAAATCTGATGTTTTGGTTGCTCATCCACATTTTGTTTGAACATGGGGTAGGCTGACGCCTGCGTGTAGCGATCGGACATGCTCAGGGGGGTCACGCGCCGCCAGCTAGCCATGATGCAAGTCAGCATATGTGAATGCTCGCTGTTTTGAATTTTGAAGAATGCGCATCGACAGCTTGCCAGGAAACTACAATTGTATCTCTCTGAGGCATCCGACAATTGAGCGTTTTGGCAGCCGAGTTGACACCAAGTGCAGACGACAACCGCAGCTGCCAGAAGAAAGAGAGCTGCGCACAAACATGCGTTTACTCCCGCTCCTTACATCCAAGACCGCCTAGACTAATGCTACAAATTTGAATTGTCAACAGAGCACCCCGGCAAGACAAATTGGCATGGTGTCGCCATGTATGGGAAGGGATGACAGCCTGAGGGGTTCTCTGAGTTCCGGACCAACTGTGAGCTGCGGAGCTCTCTCGGGCCAAGGTCTCGACCTAGATTCAATTGTTAGACTTTGCTCCATTCTTCTGGATTCGCATTGCCCTCAGCTGGACTTGCAACTCCAAAGTCAGGGTGACCGGATGAGACATCCTATCACTGTGTCCTTGGTTTGAGCAAGGACGGTTCTGTAGGGCTGTTTGAACCTCTGTGTTGGTGTCTAAGCTGTGTATCGATGAGCGAACCAGGCTGCAGTGCAATGTTGAGGCCAGGCAGTCGTCCGTCACCGCACATGAGCTTGGCAGTGTGGGTCTGAGCAAGCTGAAAGCACAATCCCTGCAATCACTTTGATCGGCTGAGCTTTCATCTGAAACCTGGAGACTCTGGGCACGCATTCGTCTGAGATCAGCAGGCTTTGCACAGGGTAGCTACACGAAAACTTGTCCCCAAGTCAAAGTGACTATAAACTATGAACTCGGACTGGCAATGGAAAGCCCCGACAAAGAGGCAAATCGCAAACCCATTAGAAGCGTTCTCTGGACGGGCAACGATTTCGAGTTGAGCCAGATGAGGCTCTTTGTGAGAAAATGCAAAGAGGCCAGAGACACGCGAGTCTAAGTCTGTCTCTGTCTGAAGTTGAGAGATCCCTGGACTCAAATCCGTAATGACCCTCCTTTAGGTAGTTCGGGGCCGCGCTGCCGAAGCCTGCGCTTAGGCCTTGAGGCAAGGCGCAAGCTTGCGCTTGGACAGGCCATCGCCAGAGCTCAGCGTGTCCTGCTCAGAACAGTGGTGAGTCTGTTTCAAAGCTCCAGGACACCTCAACTCGGGGCATTCTTAAGAGCACGTACACTACTGACGAGTCGCTATGTTGGTCTAGCCGGCTGCAAACAGTCGTTTGTTTTTCTCTTCGAGGCGCCTGGGTTGCCAATAACTCTACAATAAGGGTTGGAACCGGTCAGAACATGTACCTTTTGGTGGAACAAAGTCAGCCTGCAGCACAAGTTGCGGCAAGCTTTGCTTCGAGAAACCGCAGAACTCACCACTGTCACTATCTACCTGCTGAGAAGTCCCGGCGAAAACCTTTAGATGTGCACATTAAGGATGATTAGGAAAGAACATGTGAAATGTATGTTTGGCCTCAACGAATCGATCAACGGAGTCATGGATGCCCTGCTCTCGCTGAGCCTCTGCCGACTGGATGTCAGTTTGATTGGCTTGGGGCAATGCAATCGCCGACTGCTTCCCACGAAGCTCAACTACGGAAAAAAACATCGAAATCGATGAAAGTCGTTACTTTTCCAAGATTTCCGCAGGGCCAGTGAGGAATTGCGGCGAAGCAGGCAAGTGTTGGGTACTCAGCCAGTCAATCATGCCACACAGCAGGTGGTGAAGAACAAAGATGAGCTGCTTTCCCTGAACAGCTACCTGCGTTCCTAACTGATCATTGACTAACCCCTAGAGAGCTATCTCGTACGAAGCAAACCATCGCGAGCATCCATGCGCAGGTTGGAAGCTGTAGGCTGGGAAGAGACCCCCAAGTGGCGCGGCTATTGAGTTCGACTGACAACGCGCAAGAAGAGTGAGACCAAGAGTGCCTTGTATGCCACTTGGAACCATATATTGCCACCTTTATAGCAATATTATTGCTCTGATGCCACACTGTCAATGACTTCCTATGTCTGACCAACGTGGGTCCTGGGCCATGCGCAGGAGCCTTGACATGCAAAAAAGGGTTGATAACGTCTATAGGGAAGAGACCTGGCTCTTTCGGGGATGCATGTACAGTGCATGTCTCGTACAAGACTTCGTGGCCCTTCGGCTGCTAGCCAGAGTCGCTCATGAGGCTTTGAGGCAAAACCAAAGAGAACGGCCCACAGCGGGAACGCGGGCAGCCTCTGACGAACTCTGCAGGCGGGCACGATGCCAAAACGAAGTTAGTCGAAGGCCAGGGGGCCTCGACGAATTTCGTTGAACAGCCACAAGGTGTTTGCGGACCGAGGCCTTCGAAGGCCTTCCGTCAGAGCAAAATTAGGTTGTGAAGGCAATTTTCCACGAACTTTAGACGAAGCATAACGAAGCAGGGGCCCCTAAGTCGAAGGTTGGGCGGAAGTGTCACAGACGAAATTAGACGAAGGCCCCGGCTGTCACTTCCTCTGGGTCTGTTCCCCTTTGGTTTGCCCCTGATTAAATAAGGGCAAATCTAAAAGGGATAACCGGAATTGGGGGAAGGGAGGTAAGTTCTGCAAACATGGTGGACACCAAACACCCACCACGGAATTCTGCGAAGGCGTCTGGCCCTTAGGTTGGCTCTGTGAAGTGTTTGGTTTTTGAACAGAGGCAGAGCTGTCGAAGAAAAGACCGCATTCAGCAAAACATGATTGGAAGAATACGTGAGGTTGCTCGTGCAAACTTTAATTTCAGTAACGCCAGCTGCGTCCGTTCACTCATTGTCTCAGACCTGCCATGGGAAGGTGCTGAAAATTACCTTGCAGTGCGCAGCACTTAAATAAAGTAGAAATTCGGCCAACTCCTTATATTATTGGAACCCCGAACCCCAAAACAGGAAGCTCTTGAACTAAGGCCTCGGTCTCTGCTCCATTCATCCCTGATGATGCCTCGCACAGTGGAGTTTGGGCTTCAGGATTGATCAATTGATGGGAATGAAGACTGGGATCAAGCTTGGCTAAAACAAATGCACGAGAAGTTCCGAGCCTTTGCTGAGTTTCCACCAAGCTGCGCTTCCTGATGCAGAGGTATCAAAGCTGCTCAATTTGGGGTTTGTAGCAATGAGAGTTGTAACCGCTCCGCTGAGAGTTGTACTCCGGCACTCAAAAAGGTGCATAAATCGTCGGCACACCCTCCGGGCTACTCATGAACTTCTCACCTAGTCTGAACTCAAAGGAGTGGAGTTCTACGGGCACGAGCTTGCTGAGAGAGCCCTTTGGGTTGTAATTTCCCGTCTTACTCAAGAGCTTGTAGGTGCCGAGTCCAAGGAACAAAACTGTGACCCTGCTCGTTGAGGAAGAAGCGGTCCTAGCCCCAGCCTTTCAGAAGATGAGGTGGTCGTTGTTGCTGCTGCTGCTGCTGCTTCTGCTGCTCGTGCTGTTGCTGCAGGCGCGCCGGCTCTGGTGCTGCTGCTTCTGCTGTTGTTGCGGTGTTCAATCCAAAGCTTTCAGTGGCTTGATGGCTCAGGTTCCCATGCCATGTTGAAAGTTGGGTCATTTCCTTGAGCTCGCTGTGA